GTTTGCGAACTTCCATTTATTGCAAGTGGAGACTCTGCTTTAGCCTTTGCAAAGCCTGATATTTACGATACTAAGTTTGTTCGGCCGCGAAATCGTGCGGAAGGTTATTTCGAATCGCGCACGGTTACGTAAACCTCCGAACGAGCGCGTGATGCGTATCTCGGGAATCGAATCTCCAGGAATTCCCAGAGTCGTCGAACTCGATTTCGGGATCGTCGACATTGATCGTATCCGGAAGCAGGGTGGATCCTCGGAAGAGAGGAACGCGCTGAACCTATTAAGTGTGGAAATCAATTCTGTGCCCTTATATTCAATCATTTATAACTCCAATTTAAGTAGACGTACTCTTTATTTTATCGCGTCAGAGTACCAATCTTCTAACTCCCATTCCGATGGCCATTGTGATGCATCTACATGAACTCTAGTAGACGTACAACGTGCTTTAACGTAATAAAACGACGATTAAATATTCCTATTTAAATTAGAGTTAAGAGGTTAGTCGCAATTAGGAAAATGGAAACTGACAGTTTCTTGTGTGTGTGTGTGTTTTTTTAAGGTATCAAATAATAATTTTTATTAATGAAATGGAAATATATCATTAGTGGAGACTCGACGGGTTAGTCGCAATTAGGAAAATGGAAACTGACAGTTTCTTGTGTGTGTGTGTGTTTTTTTAAGGTATCAAATAATAATTTTTATTAATGAAATGGAAATATATCGCAAAGTATGTCTTAAAGTACGTCTTAAAGAACCATAAAAGAATTTTTGTTTTTCAAAAATATCTTCCTGTTCTTCTGTTGGTGACGTCACAGATAGTACTCGCGTCATGGTAACGATAGAGTATCAAGGCGCCAATAGTTGGCGTGCTCGCCGTGCGCTGAAACTGACTATTTTTCTAGTAACCGATAGACCTCGATAATAGACGAGTTATGCCTCGAATAAATTGTTTTAAAACCAGTTCTTCAAACTGGTGGCACCTGAAAACAAAATTAAGAGTAGATTTAGAAAATATATTAGACTAACGGGTCCCTGATCGAAGAATTTTTTATTTTCTTGTATACTTTTTTTTTTATCCTGCATTGAATCGCTTAATTTTGAGTGAAAAAATTGAAAATCAACTTCAAATGTACGCCATCTTGTTTCAAATGAATTTTTTCCAAAATCCTTCGATCAGGGACCCGCTAGACTAATATATTTTCGAAATCTTCCTTTAATTTTGTTTTCGGGTAAACCAGTGTACAGAAATCTTGCTCGCCGCAATCCTATGTTTTTAAATCGTCGTCTACGTCATCGGCTGTTATCGACGATATAAATTAAACGTTTCTTAAAACAAAAAATGTTCTCTAGTTCTTTGAAATATGCTTTATAATATACTTAATTGTTACTTATGCAAATTATTATTTAATAACTAAAAAAAAAGTCACAAAGAAATGTTGTTTTTCCTCTTTCTGACCGCGACTAACCCGTTAACAAGTGATTGAATATAGGACTACAGAATTAATTTCTACACGCAATATTTTCTCCAGAGGGGAGGGTTACAACGTCTTGGGATGACAGCACGCTCGTCTGTTTCTTTTCCAAACCGGGCCCGGAGCTCGAACGAGAGGCGAGCGAAACGAGTCGTGGCACGTGTTCCATGGAATCAACGCGACACAGTTGCTCGCAGTGATCGAGGAGCGTGCACGTAACGCGCGCAATCTAGATCCGCACTGACAAGCGAAGCAGGTTGGCCAAGGGTACGATGGAAACTGAGTGAATAACGAGATTCGAGGCGATGGATGATAGAAGCTACACCTGCACACGGCAATCGGTTGTTTAGACCAGTGATTCTCAACGGGGCCCAAGATCGCCGGTGAATTATACTTGTTTATTTCCTTAACCCCTTCCCGTACTTTAGCGAGTCGGACTCGCGACGAAGATTTTCGCCTAAACGTGAATATCGCGAGTCAGACTCGCGACGAGATACTTTGGTATTGCGATTGTTTACAAGCATCAGTCTGGTCTGTTTAGCGGGCGTCGATGCTTACCGCTTGGGCCCGAGTTTCGACGAGCTAAATGGCACGGGAAGGGGTTAAATTCAGCAATTAGTCCCGTATAAATTGCCGTCGTAACAGCTGTACCGTTCGCACAGATACACAGATTTTCGCAGACCACCGATTGAGAAACACTGACTTCGTCGAATAAAGGCCTAATCCCGAATAACCGTTCACGGAATAAGCATCGCGAATCGATCGTTGTACGTTTTTTGCTTTACTCGTTATCTGTTATTCGAAATAAAATTTTGCCCATGTTTGATCTCTAGTTCGGTAAGACACGAGCGACCGAGCGAAGCAGATAGAGGGAGTGGGAAAGGGAGACGAGAATCCGAGGAAGTCGAAAGACAAAGAGACGCGTAAAAGGAGAAAGGGAAGGAGAGGGAAGGCTGCGACCTCGCGTGCTCGAGCTCGAGCGCGAGTTTACCGGAGCACTCGCGAGCGAGTTTGCCTCGAAGCGTCCAAGAAACGAGCAATCCGTTTGACGTTGAGTCGATTACTTCCACAGAAAAAAAAGAGTCGTCTCATATTGGTTCGTCCGTCGCGACAACGAATTCTTCCAACGACGATACGTCGACCTCTTCGCCCGCACTGCGTACCGACCAGATAAACAATAACAACAACATCAACGGGCGATTGCACTCACCTCGAGGACACGAGTGATGGGAAACATTTTACTGGAATAATACGCGAACGAAATCAAACGTATAGCGATTTATTCCTCACTTTTAGGCGTGTGCTTTATTACGTAGTATCGCTTCGTGTAAGTTCAGCTAGTCTTATTCTTGTATCATTTCTCTATTTTATACAGTATCGAGACTATACAGGGGACAAGAAACTATTCAAATCTTTCTATAGTTACTTCTACTTTTCGAGATTTGGTATAACGGGGAAGTTTGTTCGTTCTGATTTTTATTCCTGATTTTTATCTTACAAGAGAGAAGTTCATCAATTAGCATAAATATAAAGAACCAGAATTATTTCTAAGGGATGGATTCCATCATTAACACGTTGAACGCCACGTCGTCTATATATGGGTGACGGAGATTTCTGCTAAGGAACTTCAGCTGTTCATTTTAAAAGCTAACGCATCAATGAAAATAAGTCTGAATAGAATTCGTAGATTTTGACGACGATACAAAAAGTAAGTAACACGACAAACGTCAGATGTGTTAGTTTACAACCGTCTCGAGACACGATTTTAACCCTGTAGGCATTCCCTTGGAAATCAGTCCGGCATTCAACGTGTTAAAGCCAATTTTTGGCCAAAATTGAAACGAATAACGTAATCAGGTTCCCGTGAGTTTTATTTCCGCAAAAATTCGAATTTCTCAGCCCGTAACGATCCCCGAACTTTCCTTGTTAATACAAATCTTTTCGTTATCCGAGATTTGTATCGAGATGGGGGTATTGGTCACCTCTGAACGCAGAGATGCAGGCTGGCTCCCGACGAGTAACTGGAAGTAAGTGGCACGAGCTGTCGCGTGCAAGCACGCCGCGGCGGAACGACAACAACGGAACAGGTGCGTGGAACGAGAAGGGCTCGCGTGTACGTCGGTATGCGAGTCAGTACGGGCGTACGCATACGCGTCGTTGCGTACACAGACGACTGCTTTACGAGCCGACGTGGGCGAGCATAGCGGCAAGAGGTGACGGGGGAAGACGACCAACCACCTAACATAACCTACACCTAGTTAGTCAAGATTAATAAGCGCAGAATTAGCCACCGAATCACGTTACTAAACAATAATTACCTTACTTCTAGATGGGAGCGTAATCGCGTTTTACGAAGATCTAGAGTATGTTCTTTTAATGGGAACAGGTGGTTTCATCGATAAATGAGATTCGTTTCAGGTTGTACTGGGTGGTTGAATATAGTAGTTGCATATAGAATGAATTTGTGAGGCATTACATGTAATATATTTTTAGGAATGTTTACGTGGACGTAACGAAAGTTACGCTGTTCGATCAACGGAAAGAAAACGTATGTCGTCCTAAGTTGTATTAGTAAAATGCGCATGAGACAAGGAAAGGCTCGGTGCACTGCGTGCATGCAAGTTGATGACGTCACAGATAATGCTCGCGTCGTGTTAACGATAGAGTATCAAGGCGCCGATAGTTTGCGTGCTCGCCGTGCGCTGAAACTGATTATTTTTCTAGTAAGCGATAGACCTCGATAGTAAATAAGTAATGCCACGAATAAATTTCATTTTTCTTTGTTTTCAGTTTTGTTTTCTCTAATGGGACCCTCTAACGTTAATACTTTGAATGGACTTTTTTTTACGATTATATTTGGTAGCACACGCATTCGTGAACAGGATTTTCAAGTTCTTCTTCTGATGGGAATTCTCAAAATAGTAACTCCTCTCTCCAACTCTGTGACTTTGTCGGCTCCTGCAGTTTCGAACGAAATGATGTATGGATGTGGTGTGTAATACAGTAAATGGAAAATAGAAAGAATTTACGTCGCGAGAACGCGATATTCGTGGTTGGAATGTCATGTCCACATAGGATTTGCGATTTGGATTATCATAAGATCGCGACATTTAGTCCCTTGCGGTCGGAATTTTCTGATTTCGGTACATTTCTGTTGAATCTCCGAGACGAAAACGGTAACGTCCAATGTCACGGTGAAACCGTGATATTAGATTTGAAAATAGAAATGATTTGATATCATGGCGTGAATAGAACGTAACGGAACACGAAATTCATGACTGGAATGAAAACGCATTCGAGTATCCATGACGATAAACGTAGCGAGATTTAACGTAGCTGCATTAAAAGTCGTGACTTCGTAACGCGGTGAAAACGGAGCTTTAAATCCGTGACTTTTGTATCACGGTGAAAACGGACCTTTACTGGTGTCGGAGCGACAGGAGTGTTTTCCGTGTCGTTCGTATCGGGTTCACGTTTAATCATTCGGTGGACGTTGTGCATCCCTTGGATTATAGAATCCTTAGCACTCACCCGAGTCGGTGTTGGTCGTGTTGAAGGAGAGCTAGGAAGAGGTTGGCAGCGATGGCGGTATCGCGAGCTCAACCACCGTCGGATCGGCTCGTGGCCGACGAGTGATCGGTCGTCGAATCGCCACGATCTCGCGACACTCGGCGTCGACGCGTTGACGAGGCTGCTTTCTCTTGGCCGCGGTCGATCGGGGCTCCGTTCATTTGACGTGCGGGAAAGTCTCGAGACGGTGTGCACCAAAACGCGTCTGCTTCGATGCGCGCAGCTTCTCTGCGAGTACTCGAGGCACGCAACAAGCACACGGGCATGCGCACTGAACGGTCGCGTTGAACCGCGCGCGCGGTACGTCGCGATTGAAAATCGGCCCAGTGCGTTCGCGACGGGAGAGCCTCGAGCAGCAACTAACCAAAACGATTCCGCGTCAGCTGCTCGTCGCAGCTGCACTGAAGTTCCGTTGCGACTTCCACCACCGTGCCGGAGTAACGAGGTTCCCCGTCCAGATAGAGGGCCAAGGAGGGAGCGGCGGGGTGGGGGCGGGAGGGAACGCTGGAGAGTCCGAGAGTGGTAGGTTACGACGGAGATGGTCGTCGGAGATGGTGGAGGTGGCGGCGGTGGAGCACGGCAAGAGAAGCTGGAGAAGTCGGTGGACGACCAGGAGATAGAGAAGGGGGGGAGGAGGTAGCCGATAGAGGCCGGGTCCACTCGGAACCGGCGAAGAGAACGGCGGTGGAGAAACTGCAAGGTTCTCGAGGAAGAGAGGGAGAACGCTACAACTCGGTCGTGCTCCTGTCCGTTGCGCTAGCCACGGGACTAATTCAATTATCAAAAATTAAAAGATTAATGGGACTCTGGGACGGTGGTGTGCCAACTTTTTGCGCTGGTTAGGTCAAATAATGCAACAGCCTCCACCACTAGCCACGTTTCTGACAAATATACAAATTCATATTTCACGAATCCGTAACGTTCGTCTAACGAAATTTCGATTTGTATATCGGGATCTCTTCGAACACAACTTCGAAAACTCTGTGCCATTTTACGTTTACATGACGTCTACTTTTGTCTAATTGTTATGGGGCGTCCTCGGTTACCGCTACCAATAACACCTATGTTTACGTTTGGGGACTACTTTGTATATGGCTACTTCCGATCGACGTATCGCGTGTATCCACTTCGGAGATGTATTCTAGAAAGTACCGATGAGTTTAAGATCTCTCAAGATGTGACCTTGATATATATACTAAAATTGTGAATTATTTTAGTTTCCTTTAAGCATTTTTGAATTTTGAAGAATTTATTCAATTAAATGTTTAAAAGTTATTTATATAAGTTATTTATATAATATATATATGCAATATGCAATAATCAATTATCGTCTCACAAACCTTTCGGCTGAGAATAATTTTTTACCAAAAAAATCGACGCCCGTAGCTCGAGAGAAGAAATGCCGTTGAAAAGTGATGAGCGATTTTCATCGAGATGATGTTTAATCTCGTTACAGTCGTTTCTATATTACCCAAGATATTAGAACCGATCCGGACCGTACTAATGTTTGACACGTTCCTACGAACAAGTTGTTACTCCTACCATTATTTCGCGGGGATTGTTTTGATCGCCGAGCAGTGATTCCACGGACGTAACGAAGGAGAGTGAGCTAACCGCGAGGCTACACTCGAGCGCGCCGTCTCGAGAATGAGAATTACAGGGAGAAGAAAATCGGCAAGTAACGGGCGAGAGGAAACGAGAGCGAGAAAGAGAGCGAGCGAGCGAGCGAGCGAGCGAGAGAGAGAGAGAGAGAGAGAGAGAGAGAGAGAGAGAGAGAGAGAG